ACTGTTTGAAACGCTGTTGCTTGTACTATAAAGATCGCTGAACACTATTGAGTGATTTCAGATTTTTATTCATATTCTTTCTCTGCTAAATTCGATTGCTGAAGGCGGTCAAGATGTTGGAAGTGTTTTGGGTTGTTTTACTTTTTGAAAAATCACTGCTCTCGTACTTCACGGAAATGATTGGAAAAAACATGTCAAACTGGGTCTAAACGTGTTTTTTTACCTTGACGCGTGGCAGGGAGACACTTCCCATGAGATCTATGACAGAATTTTTAAGCTAAGGTACGTATTTAATGAGAACATCCTTAGAAAATGGATCCGGATAACAGGAAAGTGCCAAGACTTCAAGTCGTTTGACCTCTGGGGATTTAACTTAACTAAGATGAGCACACGCAGCAGTACAAAATACAATAGACTAGCGCTTCTAGTTTTTGCAAAATTACATCGGTTTCGATTTGGACTCGGGTGACAATGGCCCGCCAGTGAGACGACACCCGAGTCTAATTTGGAATCAAACGACTCTCTCTTTTTTTCACGCAAAACTGCAACATTTCGCTCCAAAATTTTTTTTTGCAGAGTTTCAGCAACAGAGTGTGAGATATGTGCTATAACTAAATTTTGGAGTTAGTGTGCTTCAAAGACTCCGTTTTTCTATAGTTCAAGGAATTTCATGAGCTTCTACCAAGACTATAAGATGCTTTCTCGGTAGATATTCTGTTTAACCCTTACATAAATCCTGTTCTCGCCGCGTTTTTTTTTTGTCGAGTTCCACCGTTACTGACAGTCAGCATACTTTCAACCTCAGAAGGCAGCTTCTTTTTTGCGCAAAGGGTTGCGATTAAAAAAATGCATTGTTCTGCGTTGACGTATCTATGCTCTAGTTTTTGGATTTTTTGCAAAACTATTCTTGAAGCTCTGGTGCTAAAAGGCGAGAAAGTGGCGTCGGCGCCAGCGAGCCCAAAACAGATGCACAGCGTCACTGAGTTTTTTCTGAACAAACACACAAAGTCTTACGAACAGCTAAGCACTTGGTGCTCAGCTTATCAAAGGACCACAGAGGCTGAGTCCTGAGGCTCGGAAATGTGTCTGCTTCTGAGCAAGGCTGAAGAACACAGGGATTTTCTAAGAGTCGAACAAAATATCTATCGAGAAAGTTTCATTTATCTTGTAGCCTTTGCAGAAGCTAGAGTTTTTGGAGCCACATACTCCAGAAGCATTTTGAGCAACCGAAAAAAGTAACGCACATCTTTTCGTACTGCACTCGTTTGGTGTGTATCACATACCTCACGCTTTTTTACTATACAGTAAAAAATTTGAATTGAAAGGTTGTAGTTTTGCTGAAGAACGGAGAGTCGGTTGAAGTGTTCGTGTAATTGTAAAACGTAAAAAATTCATGAAGCAGATCGCAAGTACTGGAGCAAGTCTCTGTCCCATCGCAAGACCTCTCAGCTGAGTATAGTATGACCTTGTCTATCTGAAAATGTTACAAGAGAGACTTGCAACTACTGCAGATTACAAGACTGCGTAGTTGTCCGGTAAAGTTGGTGACTGCGGCAAGACAGGTGTGATCTATCAGATCGAATGCATCGAGTGCAGCGCCACTTATATCGGAAAGACTGGGAGACCGTTAAGAGTAAGGATACAAGAACATCTTGCCAGCAAAAGGCGGGAAAGCCTTGCCACTCCTTTCGGTAAACATAAAGTTGAAGTTCACGGTGGTAAGGACTTTCAGATCAGATGTGTAATACTGGCATACGAATACGATGCTGTCGTTAGAAAGGCTCTCGAGGCGTTCTGGATTTTAGCAAGAAATCGTAGCACGAACAGCCGAAATGAGTGTATGTCAATCACAAATGACTTTATGCCATTCGTGACGTTATGTGAGTTGAAAAAGACCACTGATTATCCTAATTTCCGGAGTGTAAGGCTCACCTATGCATAAGGCGCACCTGCCGCGCGAACGTTAACGCGAAAGTTGCGCCCTAAGTTTGGCTTAGATCAAGCTATACTTCAACGGTCCATCCACTTATCTAATTTTTACCTGGAGTTTGCTAAATGGGCGCTTTATAGTCAGGATGTCAGTGCTTTCAAGTTTCGGAAAATTTCAGCGACATTTTGACTATGTAGACGTAAACGGACTCAGTGACAGATAGGTAAGCTTCAAATGACAACAGTACGGGTGTTCTAGAGTAAAAATTTTGTTCAGCCGAATATGATGAATTGATGATAGAGCAGACTGATTTTTCTAAAAACTCATGTTCACAAAAAATTCAACAGAGGACGAATGCATAAAACAGTTACGAAAAGTTGGTGCCGCTACTTTTGCAGCATCGCACATCGCCCGCGTCGTCGCAAAACTGCTCGCGCGCGGTGCATAAAAATGCGCCTTATACTCCGGAAAATAGGGTAGTGCACATTTGGTATACAGTGTATTCCATTATTGGTATCAGTGACACTGAAGGACGACCGCTTTCAACATCTGCGCCCGGCGGTGGAGGAGGTTAGTCCGTCTTTCACGTTATAGGGTTTTTGTTTGTGGCATTCTGGGGCAAATCGAGGCTAGCCGGGGATGAAGGAGGTTTTTGGTGGAATAGACATAAAATCGTAAATCTCTTACCACTTCAGGCCTCTGAAGAAGACGAATAGTTCGAAACGTTAGGCCACAACTACTGATAAATCTACTAGCCCCGATTGGCTTACTGACCTACTCACAACATTCAAAAATATGCTTTTTTCGTGTTCCTTCTAAACGTTTTTTCCCAACTGCACCAACTTTGAGGAATACTGCTTCAAGGAAGAACTGCTATGTGCCTGAAAGGAGTTAAAGGAACAAGCGAACATACGATATGCCTCACCCGGACATTCCACATCAAGGAGCTAAACGTCGGCATACTCAAGATATCGATGTATAGTTGGAACAATTCCATACATTTTTGTTTATATTTTTTTGATTTTCTGATTTATTTTCTCATATTTCATAAGAGTGGCTCTTGATTGTCGCATTTTTTTCCTTTCCTTCCTACTTCACTTTTTTTCTCAAGTAGTACTTTTTTTCCCACCTCAATTTCTTCTAAGTCTGTGATCTGTCATCGAGTCTTGCTGCAGTTATCTGATCATGCTCTCATTTGCAAACTTACTACTGAAATTGTGATTGGCAGTAGAGCCTCTCAGGCGTTCAAAACAAGTTTTCTCCCTCCAAACTTTTCTATCGCAGCATTATTATGGTTTGATCAGTGCCGGCGCAATGTTCTGTATTTAACTGGTAGCAGTGTGACTCACATCTGCTGGTTTCTGCTTAGTGGCGCTTGTTCGTGGAGGAATGCGGATTTCCTCTGTGAAGTGAGCAAGGTTGCGATAGTTTGACCTTGCACGGTGCCTCTCAATGGATTTGAAAATCCATCTACAAAAGATGAGTTATCGATGTATACATACGCTTGAATTTATGTGCCGTTACGTATCTAGGCTTTCGTCGATCTTTATTTCTCAACTTTCTGTTTCACAAGGAATGGCTTTGCACCTAAGGCAAATGATCTGTTTTCACTTCCCCGGCCTCCGACTTTACATATAATCTTCACTCTTTTCTAATTTTTCGAATGTTCATTTGTGCCGCATATCTTCTGTGTTCCTAATTATTCCAATGTTATATCTGTTGTTATGATACCGCCGAGTTCTTATATGTGAAATTTTTATCTTATCTCATTTAGATCACTTTCAATATTTTTCTCACTGCAAAACGAGTGCTTCTTCTGTTATCAGCGTGTTTTTTAATTTTATTCTCATTCATTATCAGAACTTGTGTCTGCTACTTTACTAGTACAAATAAAAAGTATTATGTCCAATAGTGTCCGCTTTTTTCGGTAAAAAATAGTTTAGAGTGGGGATTGAGTGTCTAGAGGTAGTTTGGGTGGGGTTAAGGGGCTAAAACAGAACTTTATAGCTCAATCAGGGATAGTTACAGTATGCCTAACTCTTTAGGGCCAGTCACAGTAGGCCAGGTGTGAAAATGCAGGGTTTCCGGAGCGAAGGAGTAGTTGCAGTATGCCAGATGTAAAAGCAGGGTTTCCGGAGCGAAACATGCTCTTGGGTGGACTTCCGGAGCACAAATATGGGAATGACTCAATGAACGAGTGGGCAGCCACCGCTGGGAAGACCCCGGCCGTTCCCCAATGTGCCCACCGGAAGTATTTCATCGGTGGTCTGAGGGTGGCGATTGTTGGTATGGTACTATACCCCTCTGCGCCAAGCTGAGTTAAACATCGCACTCTTCTAGAAATCGTTTACGAAACCGATATGGCCGCGCTACGGTGATGTCAACTAACTCAGACGACGTCGCTTCTCGAGCGAACGTCAACCAAACCGCATCACTGTCATTCGAGTCCAGTTTACTCGAATCATGCAAAATTGGAAGGTTATTGTATGTGAGTCAACTGGCACAACTGGCACTGTGAGAGTTGAACTAGTTAAAATCTAAATTCGCCAATGATTGAAGCCGAAACATCCGTAGGACGGTGAGGAGTTTTGAAGTTGGGATTGAAGAAAAGCATGAAGCTTTTGGGTCAAAATATAAGAATTTCTCGACCTTGAGCGCTGTACTACCATTGTAAAGAAGCACCTCACACGGTCGGAAGCTCGTTTTCAATGTATAAACAGACAGCTCCTAAAAGGAACCCCTAATTTGCAAGAGCATTTCGCGATCGGTCTTTACATTTTCGTAGAAAGCGAGGCTCTTACCAATAGTTTATGAAATCAAAGCAAGCTTTAGACAAAGTTTGAAAAATATGATGATAATAAAGTTTGCTCTCCCTGCTAAGGCCTTTTGAATTTGGAACAGTCATTGTATTCCAACGTTTAGCAGCTGCTCGGTCAAAAATAGATCGAGTTCACGTATAGATGAGTTATAGTAATTTTCTCTGAATGTAGACAAGTCAGTGGGTAAAATGTGAAAGTGCTTGCAATTCAAAAGGTTTTGGTAATATAAAGCGAAGCTGAAATTAATTCACTATTCCAGCCTCTAATAGTTCTGGAGGGCACACAGATTTAGCGATCATCTTGCAGTTTTCCATCCACTTGCCGTTGATTAACTCTTTTGTGCACGTACGTGACCATCTCTGTAATAATGAGTTCACAATGGAGAACTTAATGTTATGGAATGAGCGTACCAGCTGGGAAAGCACTTCAGATATTGCAAAGACAATGACCAGCACGAATATGAGCAGGAATCTTGTTGGCATCATTTCTTAAACCTATGGCAATTGCAGTGTTGAAAATGTTATAAATGTATGCAAGCGTTTGCATAGCGATTATCAAATGTGCTGGTTTTCAAATTTGCCCTAATAAGAAAGGGTTACGAAGTCGCTCATAACAGGATGGATATTAAACACTGACAAGGTACAAATCTGCAAAGGCGATTTGCGTATTTTTCCGTATTCTCTGAGAAAAGGATTATGTGCAGGGTCAATCGTAGATTGTGGCATGCCATACTTGAGGGATCGTGCTGAAAATTTAGAGAGTAGAAGGTCGTAGTCAAGGTATCCTATTTTGTGGGGTATAAGGCGCAATAATTTCCAAAACACGCAAGCTGATGTGCGAAGACGTTCGCAGTCGATACCGTATAAGCCGCAAACTCGTGTCCATTTCACCCAGCAGCAAATTTTTCTCCTCTCCTTCAATTTGTTTTAAAACAAACCCTCGTCTTTCCTTTTATTCTTAGAGATCTGCAAAACAGAAGAAACGCCGGTCGGAAAACCAATAGTGTCCCCAGAATGAAAATATGCGCAGTTTCATAACACTAACGGCACTGGAAACAAAAGAGCACGATATCAAAAAATAACCTAAAGACTTGATTTATTCTCATGGAGAACAGTTACTGTGCGAAGAGTTTGCATTTTGCTTGATCCAGAAAGCACCCGTTCAGAAAGCTCTTGTTCGCTGTGGCGGGTGCGCCTACTTCAGGAATTAGGGTAATTTTGATGATCGGATGACATTAGAATCGTTAGCAGTATATCTAACCTTATTATGCAAAGTGCAAAGGCTGCACTGTGAATCTGACCTACCACCCAATGTTCAGGGTTTTTTTTCAAGGCGAGGAGGAGATATTAACAGAATTTTTTTTTTCGAATAAATGGGCTACCTTTAGCAACAACGCCTGAAAATGCTTTCCAAAAGTTTTTACAGTAAGAATTTTGCTTAATTTGTTCTTATACTCCTAAATAGCTTACTTCTGAATAGCGCACATCTTACTAGAAGTAGAAGCGAGAAGCGATAAACATTTTATGTATGTTTTTAATCACATGTTTGACAGTTATTCGAAGTGAGATTTTCAAGGAGTAGTACTACTACTTCATACCCATTTGAGAACAGCTGATCATGATAAAAAGTGTGAGTGCTTACATACATATTACCAAAAACACATGAAAGATTCACAACATTTTTTGTTCATAATTTCAACGTTATCCCGTTTCGGAGCTAGAACTGGTGTCGTAGTTTCCAATGAAGCCTCGAAATTCTAGCAGAAAAGTTAACTCACAGAATTTGAAGGAATTAGAAAGCGAGAGAGCATAATGACAAACGGAGACGAATTGGCAAAATAAATCTAACACGGACAGCGAATGACTCGGCAGTTGAATGCAACCTCATATTCGAATGTTTGGAATTCCATTCCGTGTCTTCCAATTTCACTTCAATGTTTGAAAATGACCTTTTCACTTGCAGCTCAATATATGTTAGACTCAGAATTCGTTATGTAGTCCACAGGAGTGATTAAACACGCTCACTGCGAAATTGATACTCGATATGCTTAGCAGGGAATGCTCAGAACTTAACCCAGCCATACCCAACATACTATATATCGCTGGATTCGCCTTGAAACGCCGATCACAAATATGTTTCACTGTATGCCAAGCGCCTATCCGAAAGTAGTTATGAGCGTCTAAATGTGCGATTTGCCAAGTGCTCTGTGGCGCATGTTGCACGAAATAGGTTTCAAATAAACTTATTTGAGTTTTTGGTAAAAGTGCTTCTTCCTTGTAATTGAAATAACCACAGCCACCGTAAATCCGCACCATCAGGCCACTTTTCAAGGAAATATTCTTTGGAACTTGAAATGTTCCTCATTTTTTAACGCTCATAACTTTTCTCAGATAGTCGCTTGGCAGATAAAAAAAAACAAATATTTAAAATCAGATTTTAAGGCGAGTTCGATGATATACAGCTTGTTTGAAATGGCTGAGTTAAGTTTTGAGCATTTCCTCGTTAGTGTTTTTTCATATCATGCTTACGTTAAATACATAATTCAGAGAGGTCTTATTAAGACATGACCAGGATCAAGCATGAGTGTAGCATGCCACACCTGGAGGGTCGTATTGAAGGTCAGTGCGAAGAGGGGTCGTTGTCAAGGTGATTTTGATGTTAACGACAACATGATATGTCAGGTGTTCTATTACAATGTCAAATAGGCCCACCCTGCACATTACTAACACATTGATGTTTTGGGTCAACCAGTATACTTACGGTAAGCAAGATAAAAGATCTACAAAAACCTTCAAGCTTCGATTTTGTAATTAGCATGTCAGATAAACCTTGTGGGCCAAGTTTCAACGTTCTGAGGTTACCAAATGTTGGCCCATCCAAGTGATGGTCATTCTCGGATATGTTATTTTTGTTTCAAAGGTAAGTTAACTACTTCTTTTTGCACTTAATATAACATAAAGAACTATTACTTCTCTGCTCACATTAGGAATCCTGCTCCAGTAACCCGTAAACTATAGATTCAAAAGCAAGTCAAAACTTCGTTTGTTCCATTTTTCGCTTGAAATATCAGACTAGAGGACAACTAGGCTCTCACATTATTGCAAATAACAAGCCTTAGACTGTCGAATATATTAGGCTATTAACAAAGATTTGCAGCTGAGTCCGTAACTTTTTACTTTTTAGTCTTGGCGCGCACACTTTTTTATATTGTTTAGAATGTCATGTGAGCTCTAAACTGGCAAAACGGCTCGCTTTATAATGACAAAATATAGGTTGGCTAAAAAATAAGTTCGTTTTGGGATACAAATCATCATAAAAAAATTTCCTGTTGTTTTCAATCAATGATTTTTTGTGGGAAAGATCGAAGCTTCCTCTACCACATATCAAATAATCAGGATTTTCTATCGTCAGTAAAGAGAGTTATGCCTCAATATGGCGAAATTTCCAAAAGCTCGATTTGTAAAGGTGCGAAAATTTAGTCCATCATAACTACACTAACTTGGCATTCACAATTCACTTCAATCATACATGTAAAAATATCAACTGTCTTGCCTCACTGCAGCAGAAAGTACTGAAAACTTCACATTTTGTCAAATTTTTCTGACGGCAAAGTTTGAATGAGTGAGTGAAGAATGAGTGTAAAATTTGAATGGTGCAGCTAGATAATCTTGATTGGATAGGAACCAATAGTAATAATAGTAATCGGCAGTTTGGGATGTGCTGTTTTGCTAATGCAATTCGCTCGTATTTACTGAAAAAACGACGCGAATAGGATTTGATATATCAGTAGATAGAGCAAACCTAGCTCTACAACATAGCGCTCAAATATCTGCACCAGCTTTGATCTACGCGAAGTTTTGAGCCGAAAACTGAAAACCGGGTGTTCGAAAACCTTAAAACCAATCAAAACACAATTGTAACTTCGTTTAAAAAGCTCCTACAAAATTTCTTTCTTGCTCACGCGTAGACATTCCACGTAGAATATTTATCTATGCGGTTGCTGTATTTTTTTCTTAGATAGACGATGAGAAAACGAAGTTTTCCATGTTTTTGCCGAATTTGTGCTGAGACGTTCTAGCACTAAAGGTTTTATAGTACACTAACTGGCTTACCCGGCTCCGCCGTATCCGGGCCAAACTTGGCACACATACACTTCGGGCCCCGGCGGGTGTCACAGTCCACTTTTCGTTATCGATCGATGTCGATTTTACCGATTTTTATCGATTTTTTTGCAGAGTTCACCTACAGGGCTAGGAGTTGGCACAGGGGGGGAAGTGAGCATGGGGATTCCGGATACAATATTAGTTTTCAGAATTATCGATTACGCTGATCACCCCCCTTGGGGATGATCAGCATGCTCGATTACCCCCCTGTGCCAACTCCCAGCCCCGTAGCTCAAACTTTGCAAAAAAATCGATAAAATCGATAAAAGTAATCGATAATCCTGAAAACCAATATTGTATTCGGAATCCCCATGCTCGATTACCCCCCCCCCCCCTGTGCAAACTCCCAGCCCCGCAGGTCAAACTTTACAAAAAAAATCGATAAAATCGATGAAAGTAATGGACGATCCTGAAAACCAATATTGTATTCGGAATCCCCATGCTCGATTACCCCCCTGTGCCAATTCCCAGCCCCGTAGGTGAACTCAGCAAAAAAATCGATAAAAATCGATAAAATCGATATTGATCGGTGACGAAAAGTAGCCTATGACACCCGCCGGGGCCCGAAGTGTATGTGTGCCAAGTTTGGTCCCCATCGGTTCAGAAATGGAATTTTCTATTCGGAACATACGTACACACATACAGACAGACAGACAGACAGACATACAGACAGACAAACAGACATTCAGCTTTATATATAAGATGCCGTTAGCAGTGAAACATTTTACATTTTCACCCTTCTAGAACTGCTAGTTCACGAGAAATGACGGATCTAGCTCTCCTTATCCGAAATTTTTCTTGCCTAGTTGCTAAGCTGCTGCCAGCTGCTGTAAAGAGCTGAAAATTCACACTCAAATTCAAATTTTCTTCAAATTCACACACTCGCTTCTAAGGGTTTATAGTATACTACTGTCAGTGCTAGAACATCTCAGCATTGTTTTAGAAAAACGTTAAAAACTTCGTTTTCTCAATTTCCAGCCGAGAGAAAAATACAGCAACTGCATAGAGAAACGTCTTATACGAAATGACAATGCATGAGCAAGCCAGAAATTTTGAAGGGTTTTTCAACGGAGACTTCCAATTTTTTCTTGGTTTTTTGAGGCTCGGATGTTTTTCGTTTTTGGCTTCAATCTTCGCTTGGATCAAAGCTGCTGCAAATCTTTAAGCACCATCTTGTAGAGCTAGGTTTGTTCTATCTAATTATATATCGCATACTATTTGGGATATAAAATCGTTGCGGATTATTACGGTTACCTATTTTGGTGCAGGAATTATACATCAACCTGATATATGTCAGAGGATGCGCCGCGCCGAGCTGAGTCTAATGATGCCCTTGGATTAAAAAGACGTCCACTCTGAAGCAAGATATAGCCACGCTATGGTGGTGTCATGAATCGGGCGACTTTGTCTCTTTTTTTCGAATACGAGCGGCATTGTATGAGTTAGTACTCGTTAGTGCAGTTAGTACACTAGTTCCTAGTAACACTGTGTATCCAAAAAAGCATAATGCGCAAGTTTTATAGAAGCTGGGTTAAGTTGAAATACAACACTTCAGAGGGAACGTATATCTCATCTTCACAGCATGGGAATAGCCACACTTTTCGGCAGATACATCGGATCACGGTTCAGCCTGTAGAGCGTCCCCCTGGGTCCATATGTGTCAGGTTTTTCTGATACAGCGGCGTACAAATAACACAGGGTCTGAATTTCATGCAGGTATTAAAAGCTGTACTCAATCGGTTTATGAGCAGTGAAGTGCACATAAAGAAGTTTCCTTCCTCTACTTATCGTTCAACCCGAAACAGCGACGGTCATAAAGAGTCTTCTCGGAGAGTAGGTACGATAACAGAAATTTTTCACTTTTTGAAGAAATGTGATTTTGGCTATCCTCAGAAAAGCGTAGGTAATTAAGCGCAGGTAATTAATCTTCAGGTAATTAAGAGCATCTTCGTTTACAACTGTTTTCAATTAGGTAGAAAATGACAAAAGTGTACCTCTACGAGGTGCGAGATGACTCACATTTTTTTGATAATCAACCGCGATGCATCTCTCGTTTAGGTAACATTCAGCAAAGCACATGCCTTCCTCTCCATCAATGATTGTGAGTATCTTTACACCCTCCACGCGCTTGATTTTTGTGAATGTGTAGGGTGAGGCACACATCACCTGTAAGCTTGCTGATTTAATGGCACGTATGCCGTGAAAATGATAAGTACAACTGCAAGAGGAGAGTAAAGAATCTTATATATAAAGCTGAATGTCTGTTTGTATGTCTGTCTGTATGTATGTCTGTATGTATGTATGTACGTATGTTCCGAATAGAAAATTCCATTTCTGAACCGATCCGGACCAAACTTGGCACACATACACTACGGGCCCCGGCGGGTGTCACAGGCTACTTTTCGTCATCGATCGATATCGATTTTATCGATTTTTATCGATTTTTTTGCTGAGTTCACCTACGGGGCTGGGAGTTGGCACAGGGGGGTAATCGAGCATGGGGATTCCGAATACAATATTGGTTTTCAGGATTATCGATTACTTTTATCGATTTTATCGATTTTTTTGCAAAGTTTGAGCTACGGGGCTGGGAGTTGGCACAGGGGGGTAATCGAGCATGGGGATTCCGAATACAATATTGGTTTTCAGAATTATCGATTACTTTTATCGATTTTATCGATTTTTTTTGCAAAATTTGAGCTACGGGGCTGGGAGTTGGCACAGGGGGGTAATCGAGCATGGGGATTCCGAATACAATATTGGTTTTCAGGATTATCGATTACTTTTATCGATTTTATCGATTTTTTTGCAAAGTTTGAGCTAGGGGGCTGGGAGTTGGCACAGGGGGGTAATCGAGCATGCTGATCATCCCCAAGGGGGTGATCAGCATGCTCGATTACACCCCTGTGCCAAATTCCAGCCCCCTAGCTCAAATTTTCAAAAAATTGATAAAATCGATAAAAGTAATGGACGATCTTGAAAACTAATATTGTATTCGTAATCTGCATGCTCGATTACCCCCTGTGCAAACTCCCAGCCCCGCAGGTCAAACTTTACAAAAAAAATCGATAAAATCAATAAAAGTAATCGATAATTCTGAAAACTAATATTGTATTCGGAATCCCCATGCTCGATTACCCCCCTGTGCCAACTCCCAGCCCCGTAGCTCAAACTTTGCAAAAAAATCGATAAAATCGATAAAAGTAATCGATAATCCTGAAAACCAATATTGTATTCGGAATCCCCATGCTCACTTCCCCCCTATGCCAACTCCTAGCCCTGTAGGTGAACTCTGCAAAAAATCGATAAAGATCGGTAAAATCGACATCGATCGATAACGAAAAGTGGACTGTGACACCCGCCGGGGCCCGAAGTGTATGTGTGCCAAGTTTGGTCCGGATACGGCGGAGCCGGGTAAGCCAGCTAGTCAATTATAAAAATGTTGAAAGAATCATGTGAATGAGGGGGCTTGACACCTTTCATCAGATTATCTTTGTAAAGAATTGTTGGACAAAAGATAACATTAAGTTATAACCTGTAATAATCTGGTGTATATGCGCAAGGCTAATAAGAATAAGTTATGAGTAAATATGAGTCACTTATGTAATGAAGGGCTTGGATGACTTTTTTGAGAATTTCTCACCACTAGCTTTCTCACCAAAGAAATGACTCGTTTGCAACGCACATGTAATGATATGACTCCAAAATGGTCAGTATATATACGCGCAATGGGGAATAGGAACAAAAATTGAAGTTGTGAAACTGGCATAGACAGAAGACTTGGCAAACCCTTAGTGTTCTGGTGGTGACCGAAGAAGTAGCATCAAGTGTCCAGGTTCAGAAAGGGGAGCGTGCTATAGTCGAGATAAACTGTAGCCGACGCACAAAGAAAGTTTGTACTTTCAACATGCTAGGGAAAATCGCTATCCTAAAAATCCCCTGTGTCGGTCTCACAACCATAACTTGCTGTGAAAATGGTGTGCTGTACAAAAATGGTGACGAATGGCATTAATATGAGATGCTGCTATGAGGTCAGGCCAACTTTCGATTCTAGCCTCAGCCAAACAATCACCCTCTATACAGTAATGTGCGAAGAAGCACTGACTTGGTAGCCGGCTGGCCCAGCAAATCACTGTGAAAGGCTCGCCCCATTCAGCCGCCTCTTCTTGCGGTAAACTGGGTTCGGCACATGTCCTGAGGGTACCGAAGATGCCAGATGCTTTATCCTTTGTTATACATTACATGGAGAGTTATGATAAAATTTGCGCTAAGCAAGGAACATTTTTATATTATGCAGCTGATTTTATACATTTGTGCGTGAAATTTTTGAACATTTGCTGATATTCACTTTCAGAGCGTTAGTGCAAGCGCATCACATCATGTCAGAACCTCTGTATATCTCTGATCCGTAGACCCTAAGAGGTTGCACTCGCTGCGTGCAATTCCTTTTGAAATTACTTCTTTATGTAAAATATACATAATATTAGGTTGGTGCAAAAGTTCTTTCCCACAAAATTCAAAAATTCATAACTTCTAACTTTTCCAACCGATTTGACTGCTTTTATTTTTGTATGAAAAGCAAGTCATGCTCTTTACAAAGACGTTTTAGCTGCTTGCCAATGATCATCTATTGCATAGATAGGAGCGATAGAAGAAAATTAGTCAAAATTCGGATTTTCTGTGTAGGGTCATAAAAAACCGGAAACTTGCAACAAAAATCGGAGCAGTCCGTATTGTAGGTTGTTTCACCAGATCTTTCTAACAGTGCAAAATTTGCGCCGATTGAGCGTCTCTATGAAAAGTTACAATTTCCCTGAAAAACGCCAAAATAAATCAAATTCGCCGCCCTTTTGTATTGCTTGCTCGAAAATCGTAACTTTTCATAGAGACGCTCAATCAGCGCAAACTTTGCACTGCTAGAAAGAGCTGGTAAGAATCTACAATACCGACTGCTCCGATTTTTGTTGCAAGTTTCTGATTTTTTATGACCCTTCACAGAAAACTCGAATTTTGACAAATTTTTTCTATCGCTCCTATCTGTGGAACAGATGATCATTAGCAAGCAACTACGACGTCTTCATAAAGAGCAGACTTGCTCTTTCATAAAAAAAAGTAAGAGCGATCCAATCGGTTGGAAAATTTAGATGTTATGAATTTTTGAATTTGGTGGGAAAGAACTTTTGCACCAACCTAATATATTGCATTATTTTGTTATATTAGGTCATTCCAAAAGTATTTTTGCTTTTTTCAAACGGACGCCACGTGTGATGGAACAAACATTTTAAGGTAATCTTTGTAGCATTCGATGCAGCATTTCATCCTCTTTCTAACTGTAGTGAAATCGTCGCAGCTCAGTCATTGAGCTTTCGGAAAATAACCAAAACCTGCGACCCATGCTTTATGAGATTGTCAAGTTCCACAATTTTTCAAAACCTTCGTATCAATCCTCAGAAGGAGTTCAAATAACGATTAGATAGAGCAAACTTTATAGGATACAGCACAACTTTTATTTCCTTTTCATAGGTCGCCGTAATTTTTTGAAAGATTTTTTTTACCAAAATCATCGGATTTTGGCAAGCCTATGTATGTCAGTCACAATCGCATCAAACATCAGTAATTACTCGGAGTTTGAAGCTTCCAAGGTGATATATAACTTAATGTTGATTTTATAAAGCAAATGAGAGCTTAGGGATTCGAAATACTTAACTTCGAGTTTTTCGGGTACAGCCTTGGGCGTGTTCAAAAACATGAGTTATGACAATTTTAGCCCCGAAGAATGAACAAATCGGAAACAAAAAACACCTATTAGAAAGAGGAGAGAAAGCTGCATCAAACAGCACCCGAGCTGCTCTCTCATTGATGTTCTACGAGATTTGAGTTGACCAAGTACGAAAATTGGTAGCATCAGTTGAAATTTTGTTAAAAAATTTTGAGGAGGTATGTGAAGGAGAAAAAAATTGATTTGTATCCTGTAGGGTTTGCTCTATCTAATCGTTACTTGAATTCCTTCTGAGGTTTGAAATGAAGGTTTTGAAAAATTGTGAAACTTGACCATTTCAAAAAGCAGGGTCGCAGGTTTTGAACATTTTCCGGAAGCTCAATGATTGCGCTGCGACGATTTCACTACTGCTAAAAAGAGGATGAAATGCTGCATCGAATGCTACCAAAATCTCTTGGTAAACACTTTTCCTTCAGATGTGGCGCCCCTTTGAAAAAAGCAAAATTACTTTCGGAATGACCTAATGTATATAAAACCAGTCCAAAGCGCCGCGAAGCGGCGCTTTGGACTGGCTGTGTGTGTGAAGTGGGAATGTGACTGAAAGTTAGAACCTTTGAGGTTTTGTAGCGAACCTTTTCCTCTCCAAAAGTATGGCATGGATTTGAACACGTAATGAGCCCAGAAGTTATCAAAGTAACGGATCTTTCCTGCTTTCGGAAGTTTCGGAAATTTTTTCATGAAAATTGGCAACAGAATTATGAATGCTCCCCTCCTAGCTTTTTCTAACCGCACCCACTTCCTTGAGACACGAATTTACAGATACTCAATTCACATATGCTCGAATCTTATACAGTCGAGTAGATTTAGCGGTAAATATAGTGTGCTTGCACAGAAGGTGAAATGCGGTGAAATTTGCGCGTGAACAAGTAGCCACGCCACTTCTGCGGGTATTTTGCGCGCGCAGTTGGCCGGCGTCACAGTCGAAGCTACTTCTTCACGCGCCAATTTTACCGCATTTCACCTTCTGTGCAAGCACACTATATTTACCGCTAAATCTACTCGACTGTATAATCTTGCGTTTTGCTATCCCAGTCTTTCAAGGTTTCCCTCCCCTCAACTCATTAACCCAGTAACTTCTTAATCAACTTTGCTGAAGTACCACTCTCTTCTCGCATTCTCGCACTCTTCAGTTCTGAGGGCATTAGTCGTAGGAGGCCGTTCTGACTCACGCTTCGGAAGTTACCCCCAAATCTGCTTATTCAAATGTTCAGTCTGGTCACGATTTAGACAGGCTTAGCCTGAGTTCTCCATGCTGCGAAGTTTCTCGGATGCTCTCAAACTTTTACACGTCAAAAACCTTAACGCAAAAAAACTTTTGTGATTGAAGCGCCCGTCCCAAACCCGATAAAGTAATCCCAGCCATGTGCACTCTTCCCACCCGGGGCCG